ACTCCATATATTCCGTTTTAGATCTACTCTAGCAAAAACCTTTAGACTCTAAGGTTGACCTCCATAATTCAAGTTTACCTTCAACTCCCTCTCTAGTCTTATCAACAAGAAGAATATCATCATCAAAAAGCATACATCAAGGTACATCCTCTGCAAATGTCTAGTGAGAACATACATGAATAAAGCAAAAAGATATGGGCTTAAGGCTGATCCTTGATGTAACCCAACCGAAATAGTAAAATACTTGGTCAATCCACCTTGTGTTTGAACACAAGTAATAGCTCCTGCATATAAGCAAGTTGACAAATTTGAAAAATAAAAAACTATGAAATAAAAATATTTAAAAACAATGGTATTCAGGTAGGAGTCATACTAGAAATGATATAAGTGTGATTATCGATAAGAGTTTTAAGAATAATGTTATAAAAATTAACAGAATTGGAGATAGAATTATAGCTTTAAAGATTGTTGTTGATGCTAAGATTGTTAATATTATAAGTGCTTACATGATTTAAAATTGCGCAATATGAGGCTCGCCTTGAGGCCTTCCTTTTCGCAATTCCAGTAAAAAACACCTTGATGCTTACATCTCGAATTTTTTTTATGAGGCTTGCGCCTCAACTTGGTTGATGCCCGCATTGAGGCGAGAGGCTTACACCTTATGCTATATATATTAAAACTTACATAAATCTTGAAGTAAATGCCCGACATTGGACTCTATAGGAGAGGAGGAAGGGGAGAGAGCAGTTCAGCATAATAATGATTCAAATGAAGAACCCCTTAGTGATGATAGTGCTGATGACTTATGAGTTTTTATGTGATATGTCATTGCTATTTATTTTTGGAAATCGGAATTATATGTTAATGAAAAGAATACAAAGATAGAAGTTTGAGTTGAACTATATTTCATGTTGTCTTATTATTGAGATATTTTGATTTCACTTCATATCTTGTGCTTTTTTATTTTTTATATTATTCACTCATTACTATATAACAAATTTATCATTTTATGTTTACGCAATATTTTTGATTTTGAGGCTTATGCCTCAAAACGCCTTGAGGCTTACACCTCGCCTCACGAATGAAAAATGCCTCAATACCCAAATACGCAATTTTAAACATTGAGTGCTTATGCTCCTCTTGTAGGTATGGATATGGATTCAAAATTAAAATTTTGGAATGACTTAGAAGAGTTAATACAAAAGATACCTCTTGAAGAAAAAGTTTTTATTAGAAGAGATTTAAATAGACGTGCTGGTAGAGAGCTAGATAATTTTAAAAGCATTCATGGTGGCTATGGGTTTAGAACGACAAATGAAGGTGGTAAGACCATATTAGATTTTACTTATGATTTTTTAATAGCTAATACCTAATTTAAGAAAAGAGATGAACATCTTATCACTTATAAAAATGGTTATAGTAAAACACAGACTAATTATTTTCTTATAAAAAAATTATATCGTTTAGATTGCAAAGATTGTAAAGTTATTCATAGTGAAAATTTATGCATCCAACATCGATTATTAGTTTTGAACTTCAAGGTAAAGGGGCAGAAAATAAAAAAAAATGTAAAATAATTTTTTAGGATTAGATGAGAGCATTTAAAGAATATTAATAAAAGTATTTTGAGAGTAAGATTTTAGATCTTCAGATTTTGTCTATGCATGAGCATTGCTAAGATTATATGGGAAAAAAGTGGCTAGTGATATTAAGAATATTACAAAATATGTGCTTGGATTTTGAAGGGAAAAATTCTTAATAGTAAAAATAATTTGTGGTGGAATCCAAATGTGCAAGAAAAAATAAAAAATAAGAAGATTTATTATAAAAATAGTTTAGATGAAAAAATTTGATAATTGTGAAAGCTATAAAGAGGCTCATAAGAAATCTAAGAAAACTATTTGCTATGCAAAGAGCTTAGCTCTTAATGATTTATATAATATATTAGATACTAAGGAGAGAGAAATATATATGTATAAGTTAGCCAAACAAAGAGATAGGAGTAGCAATGATTTATTTCAAGTGAAATGTATTAAGGATTAAGATAAAAAAGTACTTTTCTTAGAATATGATATTCATCAAAGGTGGATGAGATATTTTGCTAAACTTTTTAATGAATAATATGTAAATACGATTGACTTTAGTGAATTTAACACACTAAATAAAAATAAATATTTTTGTTTTTATCGGCGTATTAGTAAAATCTAATTTAGAGAGACTTTAAAGAAAATGAAGTGTGGAAAAGCTGTTGGACCTAATTATTTTCCAATAGAGATGTGGAAATACTTAGGAGATGAAGGAATTTCTTGGCTTACCAAACTTTTTAATATTGTTTTGAAGACTAAAAATGCCAGATCAGTGGAGAATGAGTGTGTTAATTCCTATTTTTAAGAATAAAGGTGATGCACATGAGTGTGCGAATTATAAATGAATTAAGTTAATGTGTCCTACTTTAAAACTATAGGAGCGAGTTATGGAGCGTAGGTTGCGGTGTGATACTAATGTTTCTCAAAATCAATTTGGATTCATGCCGGGTAGGTCTACTATGGAAGCCATACATTTATTGAGAGGTTTGATGGAGAAATATGGAGAGAATAAGAACGATCTACATATAATATTTATTGATTTAGAGAATTGATAAGTTCCATGAAAGTGCTATGGAGAGTCTTGAAAAGGAGTTAATAACGCTTATATTCAAATCATTAAAAATAAGTATGCATGAGCTATTACTTGTGTTCAAACACAAGGTGGTTGACCAATTATTTTCTATTTGTTGGATTACATCAAGGATCGCAAAAAGTCCATATCTTTTTGCTTTAGTCATGGATGCTCTCACTAGACATTTGCGAGAGGATGTACCTTGGTATATGATTTTTACTGATGATATTCTTCTTGTTGATAAGGCTAGAGAGGGAGTTGAAGGTAAACATGAATTATGGAGGTCAACCTTAGAGTCCAAAGGTTTTCGCTTGAGTAGATCTAAAACTGAATATATGGAGTGTAATTTTAGTAAGAGTACTCTTTTACATATTTAGATTTATTTCAAGTGATGGTGAAATAGATGGGCATAATTAATCAGTAGAATTCAAGTTGGATGGTTGAAGTGGAGGAGTGCATCGGGCTTGTTGTGTGATGGAAAAGTTCCCCTCAAACTCAAGGGAAAATTCTATAAGATGGTGGTGAGACTTGCAATGCTTTATGGTGCCGAATGTTGGCCATTAAAAGAGAAGCATAATAGTAGGTTAAGTGTTGCACAGATGATGATGCTTAGGTGGATGAGTGGCTTTACCCTTAAAGATTGGATACCAAATGAGCATATACGTGAAAAGGTTGGATTAGCTCCAATGGAAGATAAGATTAGAGAGAGTTTCCTTAGATGGTTTGGTCACATTAAACGGAGGCCTTCCGATGGCTCGATTAGGAAAGTTGAGGTATTAGATTTGACTTATGTTAAGAAAGGTAGAGGTAGAACTAAAAAGACTTGGTTAGAAAATATTAGAAATGATCTTTATTTATTAGATTTAAATGATAATTTGACTTTTAACAGGACACTAAAGGGTGAAAAATTTAAGTTTAATCACAACTCACAGAGAGTTGATGTCCTGTCGAGCGTATCACTGGGATTTATTCTCAAATGATCTTTTGCTAGTGCAAACATAACATGTCCTATAATCGGTGATTTTTCCGCTAAATAATACCACATGTAAACAGTTATGATCAAGCCCTTTAACCAAATGATTTCATTGTAAAATGTATTCATTAAATTATGCTCAAAGCTAGAGTTCGTTAAGTACTCCAATTGCTTAAAAATTCTGAGTAATGAATCATAGGATGAGCTTGATTGGATTCAAAACCCTTTGTTAGCTAAAGTTGAACTATATTTATCCCCTTAAACAAATATTCACCCTAGGTCTAAAGCCTTTACTTAGAAGAAGTAACTCATGGCAGCCTACAAGAATATTTTAATTAAGTTTGACTATATCCACTAAATAAGTCATCAAAACCTGGGATGATTGAACTGTGATTTTTATCTTTGCCATCATTATCCCCATTTTCTATTTTAAATATAAGGTGATAAATTTCAAACGATATACTAAATTTACTACTACTATACACTAAGCACATAGCTTCAAATGACCTCCTTTTATTGAAAATTCTCTATCATCACCATGAGTGGTAATTAACCATAGGAGCTTATGTCTATGAGAATTCTTGAACTAAGATATAAAGTCCTTGCGAAATGAGGGTGAAATCTCTGTAGAATGTTTTTTTTAATCCAATATACTTTCTAAAAGTTTGGTGGGAAAACCCACCAAAACTCTCCGATCAATCTGGGGTGCAATTTTTTGGAGCTCACGATTCCATAGAGGTACTGCAAGTCAGCGTTGAATCTTCAAAATTAGTCAAGGATCATATTGAATGTTCTAGAATTTTTGTGCTTTCTAAAGCCAGTTATAGGGATGCTAATTGTTTCACATTTTTTATGCTATATTCTATTGATTTAATTCCTCCAGAAAATTATGCATGCCTTGTAACGTATGAAGCCTTCATAAAACTCCAAAATAAATAAATTATCAACTTTATATCTTAAATAACTAAGTCCATAATTGACTGATGAGCTCTGACTTGCATTATCTTTTTCTTTGGTATGATGGTTAATTTGTTCAACCATCAAGAGTTCCATAAGAACCCCAGGTTTTCCTTCCATTTATTCAAAACTTCTGTAAATCATAATTTTGTAATGGTTATAAATTAGTGACAATTGTTAAAAATGTGGTCTTTTATCCAAAGCAAGTTTGCTGTGATTTTAACCATTCCGTGATTGTTATATTTTTTTGCTAGACGTTTCACATAGTATTGGAATTATAGGTACAACAGTACCACCATGCCTTTTTGTCCTGATAATTCACTAGCTTGTGCATGTTTACTGCTAGGTTGTTGTCAACTTAAACTTTTTTAGAATCTCTTTTACTTATGAGTTTTCATATGCATTCATACAGACAGTTGAGAAAAGGCCTCGAGAAATGATGCTGCGTCGTGAGTTTGCAAATGCTGTTGGATATCTTAATCAGATTCTCCCTGAAGAAGGTCATTTGAAGTTTATTCATTGGGATTTCCATAAATTTGCCAAAAGGTTGTATTTCTTTGCATAGCTCATATTAAATGGAATTTTGTTAAAGGCTGACATTAAAATGGGTTGTCTTTGTTAGCAAATCTGCAAATGTTTTGGCGGTTCTAGGTGCTGTAGCAAGTGAAGCACTTGATTTAACGGGCTTCTACTATAGTGGAAAACCTGTCACAGTGAAAAGATCAACTCAGCATGGTAGAGCAAATACTGCAAGGTAAGGTGTTAATAATCTTTAAATAAGTAGCAGCTTGAAAAATTGGTCTTATTCCTGTTTTAATAGGTATGCACATTATACTCACTAAATAGAAGCACCTTGAACGATTTCCCTTGTAACTGTTTGATGATTCTTCCACTGCCGCTTGTATTATATGTATATAGTCCTTATGTTAAAAACAACAAGCTATTCTGCCTAATGGTGTTTGATAACTGTTCTATAGTTATCCGGCATTTGATTGTAATGCTATACCTGTTCTTTTAAATTTTAATATGGTGCATAAATTTAAAATTTCATCTATTCTGCATAGTGTGATGCAGAAAAAAATGGTTTTGAAGTTAATTGTCATCATTGTTTTTTTTTTAATGTTGATTCAAGTTGTTTTGGTCTATTTTTATGTTGATTTAAGCTTGTGAAGTGACTCATGTTGAAATATGAACCCATTAGATAGATATATAAGATAAATGTTGAAAGTTAGGGAAAGAAAGGATAGACTTTATGGTAACATGAATAGGAGTTGTTCAAAATGATTTTCTACAAAAAGCTTTGACACCTCATGTAATAATCAACTAGAAGGAATGGAATATGAGGATTCATAAAATTTGCCCAAAATATTTGAGATAATATTAATGATCATGATGACGTTTGTTGAAATCATGGAGAAAATCCCCCATGGGCGCTGATAGTAAAAGGCTTTTGCAAGCTGAAACTGCTCTTGTAAGTTTGTTTTCCAGAGGGTGGAGGATTCATCATGCACTAGATCGTCATCAGTAGTCTTCTCCGAGTATTTTGTAGTCAACTTGTGAATACTTATTTTTCTACACATTTTTGTTAAATGTTACATCAAGCGATACTCTTTTTTGTTCAAATGTTTTTTTTCTGTGCTTTCAGCCATGTCAGCTTTGGACCAGTATTTTACCTTCACAATCCTTCCGCATTAATTTTATTTATTTAGTGTTTTTTTTTGTGATTCTTTTACTCTCCGTTATACTTAGCAACTATCTTCTTTTGCAAGTGTATCCATTCGTTGTGAGAATTTTGATGTATCTGATTGATGATCAAACATTCTTAAAAAAAATCTTGAAATCATGCATGTAATTAATTTGAAGGAAATTGTTGATTTTAATCATGCATTTGAAGGTTAATATAAAAATCCAATTTTGTGGAGAATGATGAATCCCTTCTTTAGAGGAGAAAAGTCCATCCTTACATAATAATTTACTAAAAAGGTTATAAATTACAAAGAGCCTCAGGTCAAGCGATAGACTCATTTGTTCTAATGTAGAGGTTTAAGCACCAGTCTCAATGGACAAAATCATGATGAATTTCAATAGACCAATTGTAGATTTAATGTTTGTATTTGGTCTTGCACTCACCTTATATTATTAATTAGCGTTATGTTGACCTTATATATTTAGTGACCTTGGGCCCATTTAATGGAAAGTATGGGATATATTTTTATCCTTAAAACAAATAAAGTTATAATATTATGTAATATATTTATTTTAGGCCAAAGAAAGTTTCTTGCACATTATATTTCTTCCTTATGTGTATGTATGTATGCATGTATATATATATATATATATCATTAGGTGAATATTCTCAATTAAGAGGAAATGAAGCATGAGAAAAATAGAACTCCTAATTTTTTTCTTTAGAAAGATAACATCTTACAATATTATTATCTTTCTATAATAACACTCCCTTCAGGCTAATGTGTATGTATAAAAATCAACTCAGCTTGGTGAAAGGATTGAGAAAATGAAGAGGTACCAGAGCATTGGTAAAGTTGTTAACCAATTATTCTTCTGGTAGGAAACATATGCACTTCACGCAAAAATCAGTGCATAAAATACAAGAAATTGAAAAGAGCGCTTACAAACAATTTTTATTGAAAGAAGATACGAAGGAAAGCAAGATACAATAGGATCCTTAATTGGAGAGGAGGATCCGTCTCTCCCAAATCTCTGGTCATCTACTAGAGCCCAAACACTCTAAGAAAACTCAAATTTTAGTAAACAAGCGATGCCCTATCCCGAAGAAATTTTCCCCCTTAAAGTGTACAATTCAAAAGGAAATCCCAAAACAGCCCCTCCTTGAAATTTCCCTCTCAAATCGCATTAAAAACATCATTTCAAATGGCTACGGAGGGGGGCAGCAATCACGGGTGCGAAACTCTTGTTCCTCCTCCAATAGACTTGGGTCGGTCTCGTATGGACCAAAGTTCTGCCCCCACTAGACTTGGGCTGGTTCTGTGTGGACTGGCTGGACTAGTCCAGTGACCAGTCTAACAATACTTCCCTCTCAAAGACCCAACTTTTCCTCAAGATGGAAGGATGGAAATTTATGTTTCACCCTCTCGTACGACTTCCAAGTGGCATCATAGTCATGAAGGTTCTCTTCCATTTGATTAGCACTTCCTTGATCCCTCCTTCGCGCTGGCTCACCCTTTCAATTCCAGTAGTTCTAACAACACCCCTAGACTCTGAATTAGTTGTATGATCTCCAATTGCTTTTCTCAACTGGGAGACGTGGAACATTGGGTGTATAGTAGGGGTCAGGGGTGCCGCAGCTCAGATCCTCTCCAATATCTCTTAAGGGCCAAAGTACCTTGGTGTTAGGTTTTCATTTCTCATCTTCATTACTGTCTTCTGTCCGTAAGGACAAAGCTTTAAATATACTCTCTCTCTCTCACATCAAATTGGACGTCTTTCCTTTGCCCATCCATCTCCTTCTTCATGATCTGTTAAACCCTCAACAAATTCCTTTTTAATTCCTTATATACCATATCTTGCTCCTCCAAATATTGTTACATAGAAGAAATTGGTGTGTTACTCAACCCAAAATGCATCTAGTGAGGTGGATACCTTCCATACAATACTTTAAAGGAGTCATCTGGGGTGCCGAATGATCCGAAGTGTTGTATTAGTACTTTGCCCATGATAGTCACTTGACCCATAATCAAGGTGTCTCTGAAACAAGACACCTCAGGTAAGTGTCCAAGTTCCTGTTAACCACCTCTGTCTTTCTATCTGTCTGAGAGTGGTAAGCGGTGCTTCTTTTAAGTACTGTCCCTTGCAGCCTGAACAACTCCCTCCAAAAGTAACTGAGGAATACCTTATCATGGTCAGACACTATAGACTCTGATATCTCATATAGTCTAACCACATCCTTGATGAATGTCGTTGGTACTATCACTATTGTATAGGGATATCATAGGGGAATAAAGTGGGCATACTTGTTCAACTTAATAACTATCATAAGAATCACTATAAACCCCTCAGATCAGGGTAACTCATCGATACAGTCCATGGTGACCTCCTCCCACACCCTATCTGGTAAGGTGAGGGGTTGAAGTAACCACCTCGAGCCATGACCATGTACTTGTTCCATTGGCATACCTCACATCTTGCTACCATCTCTTCCACATCTTTGTGCGTCCCCTTCTAATACAACTCTACTGCTAATCTCTTGTATGTCTTCTACTCACCTAAATGACCCCCCCACAGTGCTTCCATGAAACTTCTACAGCAGATGTGGAATATGGTATGAAGTTAGAGATACCACAAACCTCCCCTAGTATAAAGTATCTCCCCCTCTAGAGAATAGCCAGGGTGGTTATTCTCATCTTTTAATAGATCTGCTCTGATCTTCCTTAGCTCCTCATCATGCACACTATTCTCTTTAGTAGCCCCCAATGCAACATCAGTGGTATCGACATTGCTAGCTCTTGGAGCTCTCCCATGCATCTGGACAAGGCATCAGCTACCTTGTTCTCTACCCATGGCCTATACTGGATCTCAAAGTCATAGCCCAAAAGCTTTGGCAGCCACCTCTGATGCTCATTGGTAACCATTCTCTGCTCTAACAGATACTTCAAGCTTCTCTAGTCTGTTCTATCGACGAAATGTTGGCCTAATAAGTAAGGCCGTCACTTCTGAATAACTAACACTATTGTCATCAACTCTCTCTCGTAAACAGACTTCATACTAGTTCTGGCTGTCAACACCTGGTTGAAGTAAGCTATAGGCCTGCGATTCTGCATGAGCATTACCCCCAATCCATACTTCGATGTATCAGTCTCTACCACAAAAATTTGGTTGAAATCTGGTAGGGTCAAGACTAGTACCATGGTTATGGCCTTCTTTAATCTCTCAAAGGCCTGGGTATTCGCCTCTCCCCACAAGAAACTGTCCTTCTTTAGCTGCTCTTTCAATGGCCAAGATATGGTGTTGTATCACCTCACAAATCTCATGTAGTATCCAGTCAATCCTAGGAAACCTCTTACATCTCTCATAGTCCTAGGTAGAGGCCATTTTAGAGTTGCCTAAATCTTGGCCTAATCAGCGACCACCCCCTGTTGAGATAACACGTGCCTCAAGTACTCCATAGTGGCCTGTGCAAAATAACACTTCTTCAGGTTGGCTTTCAGTTGGTGCTCTTGTAACACTTCTAAGACCACCCTAAAGTGCTCCAAATGCTCCTTGTCTGATCTCCTGTACACCAAGATGTCATCAAAGAAAACCAATATTATCCTCCTGAGATATGATCAAAACACCCTATTCACGAGGGTCTGGAATATAGCGGGGGCATTTGTGAGACCAAAAAGCATCACCAGGAATTATTCGTAGTGTCCCTTATGAGTCCTGAATGCGGGCTTTGGAACATCCTCCTCTCTCATTCTAATCTGATGGTAGCCAGACTTCAGCTCCATCTTTGTAAACATCATTGCTCCACACAGCTCATCCAGTAGCTCATCTATCATCGGAATGCAAAACTTGTCTGGCATAGCCTCCTTATTTAAGGCCCGATAGTCAACAAAGAATCTCTAGCTCCCATCCTTCTTGACCAGTAAGGCTGGGCTAGAAAAATGACTTACATTAGCCCTGATGATCTCTGCCTCTGACATCTCTCTAATCAGCTTCTCAATCTTATTCTTTTGAATCTGAGAATAATGTTATGGCCTAACAGTAATTGGTGATACTCCCTCCCTCAAAGTGATGGCATGGCTCCCTTGGTGGCGGCATTCCTTGAGGTGGCTGAAAGAAATCACTGAACTGCTGTATAAGTGGTTGTATTGAAGAAGGTATGTCTCCCTCCTCTTCCAATCTGATCCCTTCTAAGCTCTGCATTTCCACCAGAAATCCTCCTCCCACCTCCTGTATGGTTCTTTTGTTGCCATGGCCATTGTACTTGTGTACTTATCTTCCTCCATTTGCATGGTCTTTGTATCAGTCAAGTCATGATGCCTCACTTTTATAAGGACTTCAATATTTTATTTTATGAAGCTGAACAGATGACGTCCTTTTTAATTCTCTGAAATTTTAATGATTAGGTTTATTAATAGCAGAAATTAGATATAATTTGTATCATTGAAGTGAAATATGACCTATCTCTATGTTATAGCGATTTCATATTTGGCATTGATGCGAGACACGAATGTTTTTTCCACTCTGAGTTGATTAATAAATTTGTGAAAGATATGCACTTTCTTCTTTTTGTGGTACATAAAAAGCCCTTGCATAGAAAAGACATTTAGTTACCCTTGATTATTTAATTTACTAATGTCAATTTAAACTAATTTCAAGTATTTTCTTTCATTTAAGCTTTAAACTTTGTTCTAAATGCAGGGATGCTTCTCTTGGTGAATTTAGAGCTAGTGCAGTAGATCTAGCAAGGTTGTCTAGTAATTCTGAGGCATCAAACTCTGTGACTGCTCATGAGAAAAAGAATCTGAAGCAGGAATGGATGGATAATGGTCCTCATTATCAAAGTGGAGTCTTGCGAACAAATTGCATTGATTGTTTGGACCGGACAAATGTTGCGCAGTATGCTTATGGCCTAGCAGCTTTAGGACACCAGCTTCATGCAATGGGTTTGACAGACGTGCCAAAAGTGGACCCAGACAGCAGCATTGCTGCAGCCTTAATGGATATGTACCAGAGCATGGGTGATGCACTTGCTCACCAATATGGTGGTTCTGCTGCTCATAACACTGTGGGGTTCTACTCTTCTAAGCAGTTCTGGTTCACCAAGCTGCTAGCTCATAAACTTACTTTGAATTTTTATTGCCAATTTTTTATACGGTACTATTTTCATTGCTTCCAGGTATTCACTGAAAGGCAAGGCAAGTGGAAGGCAACTACCCAGTCTCGTGAATTTTTGAAGTCAATAAAGAGATACTATAGCAATGCATATACGGATGGTGAAAAGCAAGATGCAATTAACTTGTACTTCTCTATATTCTTTTACATTTTGACAGATCATATACACATTCATGCTTATTATTACATTGACGCAGGTCTCTCCAAATAGATTCAGTTTGGATGTTCTTATTCAGTATTCTTTTGTTTTTTTCTCCAATGACAAAATATTGCTAACGTTGCTTTCTGTTCTTTTGAATCTTTCTAGATTTCTCGGTCACTTCCAGCCAGAAGAAGGGAAGCCAGCCCTTTGGGAGTTGGACTCGGATTATTATCTTCATGTTTCAGGGACTGATGAAGGCCCTGACAACAGGCAATTTTCTACATAGTTATCTCAAAACTCTCTTAAATTGTCGTACTTTTTCTTTGCTGTGGTTATTAGAGTTGTTCTTATGAATGATATGTTATTGCTATCTAGTAGTTATTTTTTGATGTTATCTCAAGGCTCACATTTTTTGTCATTTTAGTGAGCCCAAGGAAAGCACTTGCTTGAAGGGAACTTCCATAAAGCTTGCACCGATTCCAGCCTGCAAGGAAGACTTCCAACGGATGAAATTGACATCCTTCGATAAATTAATGGAGAGAACATGTAGTTTTATAAAGGATGTCAGACTGATAAGTGAAGATGTAAAAGCAAGTGGTGGAGCAGGAAATCTTGGGATGGCACCCGATGCAGCGTAAATTGTCTTGCCTATGTTGTTTTTGCTAGTTAGTTGTTCAAATGATTCACCCTTTTTTTAAGAATTAGTTTAGTTAAAAAACGCATGTGTACCAGCACTTAAAACTTCTTCACCAATTTGTGGCATGAGAAGGGTTGATCCAAGATATTTACCCCTCCACTGTTGAGGTAATTTTGGAGATTGAAATCCATGATCTTCAAATTGTCACAATCTGACTTAAGAACTCAACTGGATCAAGGCTCGAATGGATGGTTAAAAGGGGAGGGGTGGGTTGAATTGATCAATCATTGATAAAAAAAGTAACATGCATAATGGAAAAATGATTGCACGTGGCAGTTCATGAACTCTTACATGCATTACATTACATTTCATACAGCAATGTATGATCTTCCATAAACATCATCAAAGTAAAAAAGGAGCCTGAACATCAATCTTGTCATTTAAAGTAATTGCAAGATACAAAACCGTTTAAGTAACGTTCAAATGCATAAAAAATGTCTCTTACACCATGCATCTATCATATTCATCCATATATCTAACCAAAGGTGTTATGGTCAATTGAGTGCAAAATCTTTTTCCCAAGTCATCTACTCCATTGTAGGTTGTAGGTGAGTTATATATAATATAAAAGAAATATAACTTATATTATTGCATGCGTTATGTCATAAATGTGGAGTTGCTTTAAATTGGTCTCATATTCCTTGTCCTAAAAAGAATATTATTTAAAATTAATTAATTAATTTAAGTAATTATTCTTTTTTAAATAATGTATTAAAGAAATACATTTATTGAGAGGTTTGATGGAGAAGTATAGAGAGAATAAGAAGTATCTACTTATGATATTTATTGATTTAGAGATAGCATATGATAAAGTCCCAACATAAGTGCTTTTGGGAGTTCTAGAAAAGAAAGGTGTTAATAATGCTTATATTCAAGTCATTAAGGATTTGTGTGCAGGAGCTATTACTTGTCTTCAAACACAAGGTGATTTGACGAAGTATTTTTGTTGACCGTCAATTAACTGCTCACGACCCCACATGAAGAAGCATATGCTCCTAACCTCTTACTGCTCATGACTCCAGCCCAATCTTCCTTCTGTTAACCACTACTCCAAGTTCCCACATCATGGAAATAATTGTTGCCTCAACGAAGGAAAAGAGCGAGAGTAGTTACGCATTCTTTCTAGCACTGGAGTTTTGCTTGAGACTTTCATTCTCTTGTGATTCCTGGTTGAAGCGAGCTCTCTGTTCGTCCCAACCAAGAATGAGACCTAATCGGCCCCCATTATGTCTTTCAAACGCAAATCAGTTGTCTCTCGACCCTATGCCGCTCGGTTAGCCATCCAAATCCCTCTGTCCAGTTGCAATCAGATTGCAGTCCAACTGCGAATCGCACCAGGAAGCTTCTCTTCTGCCTCCTTATGCACGTCCAAGCCAGAATCGAGTCTCTTCTGACTCCTGTATGTTCGTCCGTTTGTCCCTATTTACTGGTGACGTGAGCCTCTCTTGCATCCGACCTCAACTCAAGGATTAACATAGCCCTCACACAATCAAGTTGTCGACCCACCTGCGCTTCTCCTGCTAACGGGATAAAATCTGCACTGATCTCCTGTGTTCAAACGACCTCCCCCGCCTCTGTTGCTCGATCTATTATGCTTGCACTTTGTTGCTCGATCTAGCTTATGCTTGCACTTGTAATACCGCTTTCTTGAAATAGTGGATAAGTGGGAAAAGGGCTTATCTGATTATGAGTATATTAAAACTATATTAATTATAATAATTATTATAATAGCAATAATAAACGAATTATATAATACTATAATCATTGAATCGGAGGCGTTGCAATCAACAAATTGGAGCAATTGTAGACATATTCTGGGGCCCAACAACATCCCGAAGCCCTCGACCATTGATTATCTTTTTGACTGGACGGATTAAAAGGGCAAGTGCCTTCCCCTACCTCCCCTAGCAGGAAGGAGACACTAGGAGGCTGTCGAAATTTCTTCAAAAAAATTTGACTTGTGCGGATTTTGAAAATTTGAAAAAGTGTGCAATTGATCAATCAATTAATTATAATATCAATTAACTAATAAATTAAATTATTAACTGACCAATTAAATTGAATTAATTAATTAATTAATTAATAGTAATTTAATAATTACTTTAAAATAAACTTTAAATGATTTTCTCAATTAAATTGAAGTCATTAATTGATTAGAAATTTAAATAAGTAATGAATGATTAAATAAATTAAATATGATTAAAAGATAACTTGGATACTAATTAACTCAAACAGATTTTCCAACAGTTAAATGACTAATATAAAGTCTAACTAAAAAAAATAAACTGTAATATAATCAGTTAACTATTTAAATCTTTTAACTTAACTGAAAGTGAAATTTTAATTGAAGTAAATAACAAAGTTAATGAATTGAATTTAAATTCCTAAGTTAATCAATTAAATAAATACAATATTTAATAAAAATCAAACCATTAATTAAAATTAAAACTTGAATCAATTAATTGAGTAAATCAATTTAATTTAAATAATTAAGTAATCTCAAATGTATTTAAAATTAAAAATTAAAAATTAACAAACCGAGCAAATCAAATTTAACATAATTAATTTTAAAATACAATTCAAATTAATGAGCCAAGCAATTTATTTTAAATTAAAAACTTAATCTAAAGTAAAAAAATTCATTTAATGAATTTATATAATTAATTAATGCAATTAAATTTAAACAAAATAAAATACAATTCAAAGCAATGTTCACACTAAGCGACGCTGTACAACTCTCACTAAAACTCAAACTCCAAAAAAATTAATGAAAACACAAAATACAAACAAGTGCTCCAAAAATCCTTATCTAAACTCAGCTCCTAGCAAACTTCAAACCCCTGGTAAACTCTAGCTCCTAGCAAAGGCTACAACTTCGAGACCCAACTCCTATAGCTGAAAGTGCTAGCTAATGTAACTACTGACTGCAAGCACCTGCAAACAAACAGACAAGAGTTAGTGCATCATAAATAAAATTAACTTAATGCTGAAAATTGTAAAACTAATTACTGCATGCAGAACAAATGCTAGAAAGTGGATAAATAGAAAACAACAGTACTAAAATAGAGAAACAAACTACTGTAGTAGAAAAAACTACGAGCACAAAATAACAAGACACTGACGCTAGTGCCAAAACCCAGAAGTGTATAAAACCTTAAACCCCTAACACACTGACAACTTTCAATGAAAGTCGTAAGTACGACTTTAGGGGAAATCTTTACGCAAAAATGACCTAACCCCAAATCCCTGAAATGTTATCCGACAACATTTAATAGAAGCTGTTAGTCCGACTTCTGAGGAAAATATTTAGGTAATAAGATAACCCTAGACCACTCACGTGGGCGTTCGAGTTTATACGGCTAGGTTGTAAGACCTACCATATGGGCCACTTAGCTTACAGGGCTAGGTTGTAAGACTCGTCGTTAGGCAACTTCTAAATCCATAAGCCATAAGATTTATCTAAACAGTCAAATCCCCCATGGACATCTTAGTTTATAAGGCTAAGTTGTTAGACCCATCATTCGGGCCACCTCTAATAGAAGCCGTAAGACCCATTATTAGGGCTACTTTCAAATGAAAGCCGTAAGTCCCTTCTCAAATTCAATCACACGGGCAACTCTTAAACAGAGTCATAAGGCCTGACCCAAGTCAAACCAAATTAAAATCCATATTTTTCCACTTCAGCTTACTCGGGATCCCTGAGTGGAGGCAACCATGACTGCTAATCAAATTTTCTGGACACTAAAATCAATAGTTGTCAATATTGGTAGACTGAACCCATGGTATACTCATGACAACGAAACCATGTGATCTTGATTGGGTGTACCTTCATCCCCCATAAGTAAGATTAAAATATTATTACACATTGTTACACTCATTGCACAGACTAAATATATTTCATATTTAATCGAAAGTGTTATTCTATTGTGTTAGGAGGGGTAATTAGTCATGAGGGCTTATGCTCATAGGATATACAACTCAGATCTAAATAAACCCAGACACTACTCTCAAGGGAAATATGGTTAAATTTCAAATCAAATCTACCTCAAGAAAAATAAGGGGACCTTCAGTTTGTGGGAGCGAGGTTTGCGCCTATTTATTATATTTTTCCAGAGCGAACAATTTTCCTATTTTAGTTAAAAAGAGTAGACATTTTAGATACTTTGGGTCTATTGTTCAAAGTGATGGTGAAATAGATGGGGATATTATTAATAAAATTCAAGTTTGATGGTTAAAGTGGAGGCATGCATTGGGCCTGATGTGTGATAGAAAAGTACCCCATAAACTTGAAGAAAACTTTATAAGATGGTGGTGAGACCTATAATGCTTTATGACACAAAATGTTGGCCATTAAAGGAGAAGCATAAATTTAAGTGTTGCAGAAATGAGGATGCATAGGTGGATGAGTGGCTTTACTCTTAGAGACAAAATGCAAAATGGTTGTATACGGGAAAAGGTTGAAGTGGCTCCAGTGGCAGATAAGATTAGCGAGAGTTTTCTTAGATAGTTTGGTCATGTAAAACGTTGGCCTTCCGATGACCTGGTTAAGAGAGTAAATATATTAGATCTGGACTATGCTAAAAAAGTTAGTGACAAACCTCAAAAGACTTTGTTAGAAAGTATTAGAAATGACATTTGCTGGATTTAAATGAGAATTTGACTCTTGATAGGGCACAACGGAGAAAAACACAATGGAGAAAAATGATTCATTTTGTTTGTTGGATTTAAATGGGAATTTTGTTGTTGTAGTAAAAAAATTTTGATTGATATGATTTGGTTAAATCATAGTTGTATTATTTCTTTTTAATTAGCCATTAATTTTGTTAATATTGCCACTCAATCGACTCAATAATATTTGGGTCCTTACACAAATCACTTCGGAATTTTCACGATTACTCCAAGTAGGCCTTTAAACATTAGTTACTACAGTAACTTATATTTGCATGAAATCATAGGTTATAAAGGATGAATAGCTTTAATTTTCTATGTATGGTTAAAAAACTGCCACCTGCTATCTTTTTATTTTGCTTTTCTCTACATCTTTCATTTGTATTTTCTTAAGTTTGGACATATTTTTTTCTTTTTGTTAAAAGTGCGTTGAATGAGATTGTGAGGCTTCATATGGTAATGTTGTGTTGTGCTAAGACATGAAATTTAAAAGTCTTTTCTTCTCCTATAAATAGTTGAATTCGATTAGCAAGTGTGCTCATCATGTTGCTAAATCCATGGTTAGGGATGCTTGAAGAAAAATCAAAATTACTGCATGTAAGAACGCAAGATCAACACATTAGTGACTGAAACCTGAACCAATGGACTTATTCTCTCATGAAAGAAGAAAATACTGTTTTTCATTTTGCATGTAAAATGTATTGCATCATGGTTACCATACTCACAATTGCCTTGCAAGTTTTTTTTGGTGAATGTGTTTTACAGTTATTGTCATACATGTTTCTTTATGCACCATGCGAGCTTTGAGGTATTTCGTTCATTCCTTGTCTTCATTTCTTGCTCAATTTCTGTTGTTTCCTCAGCATTCTTCATGAGTTTTACTATCCTGTTCAAATTAATTTTTTTTAATGTTTGCAATCCATGCTTTGATTGAGTAATGACCTTGAGAAAGCTTATTTAAACTTCAATAATAACTTGCATTATGTGAATTCATCATTGCGAAAACTAATTCTTAAGAAATATCGATGCAGTGAAATACAGCTTAAAAGCCCGAACTGGTTGTTTGGCCAAAGGAAGTATGAAGAAAGTGCTAATGCACCAAAAGATGTTGCAAATGAAAGAACAAATGCTACTAGTCAGCAAGAATCTCTTGCGCCTTGTGATATCAACTTGAGTTGGCTCTTCTCTCAAGATGATGTACTCAAGGAGGACAGTCTTCAAAGGTACTAAGATTTATTGGGTAGCGGATAAGGACTAACATTAGTGACACTTCTTGTCAGACTAACTGTAGTGATATTTGTTGTCATACCTAACATATGCTGCATGCAATCAGTAAAACTGCTAATCCTAAGGTGAACATGCATGTGGTTTAATGGGACTCACGTAGATGCAATTTGCACTTTATTGCTGCAGTTGACTTTTGGGAATGTTTTTATTTCTTTACTCAAATAGACATGAAAATGAAAACGATATGTACTGTGTAACTGCTTAAGGTTGTTCATTTGATTTTTTGGCTATTACTTATTGTTAACATATTAAAGTTGTATTTGTTTTTCATCATAGCTGTGGTCTTATTGTGCTGGAAAAGATTGCAGCCCGACTGCATAGTGGCATCTTGTATGGATTGTATCATGTTGGGTGCATTGTTTCCTGTGAAGCGTCAAATGGAAAACTTGTAGTTTTTTGTTTGTCTATTTATTGAAGTAAAGAGAATCTTAAAGAATTTCTTTTATCATTCTTCATCAACGCGTCTTATTTGCAGAACCTTCTTTACTATATTCTATTTTTATGTGCATCATTTTGGTTTTAGTCTTTTTGAATTTAATTTACTTCGCCACTTGTTATCAAGGAGATTATCAGTCTAACTGTTCTTCCTCCATGACTATCTCGCATTATCTTAACTGCCTTCCCTTGCTAGTGCTTAGTCATGTTTTTTTTATGATGTAGTATTTGTGACATTTTTTCCTTATGGGTTTACTTCGTTTTAAGCTTTCAATTTCAGATCATTTTCTTCTAAGTATTTTTCATGCTTTTCTGCACGGAGTTTGTTTGATTTATTCCAATTTTTTTCGTTCAATGAAAATTTCAAGTAATCACTATATTCATCTACCAAAAGCACTTCGAAGCATTATTTCTCTTGCAACTGCCTGAATTTAGTAGTACTACTTATGGCTTGTTTATGTTCCATCTTAATATGTGAATGATAAACCTTTGTACATAAACATAGTGCATTTAGAGTGGTGGCTATTCTACATAGGTAAGTTAATGTCCCGTTTATTTCCTCTTGGGAATTGTGCTATCTATTCGGGCTCGCAATTTGTACTAATGTTGTCTTTAATTGCCGGAACAAACTTTCTAGTTTCATTCGCTAAATCTTGTGTTATATGCAAATAAAGTGAGACTGGATGTGGTACATGATACTTTCGGGATGTTGTACATGATTAATTCCCAAACATAAATTTAATCTTTTTCTGCCTTGAATGCGAGATATATAGTATACGGATTTGGATCCTTCCATTTACCATGTTAATTAGGTTATAGAAGTTGTAAATGCCAGCAAACTTCTAATCCATTTTGGATGACTGGGTTTTCTTTTTTCCAAAAGCTTAGTAGTTTTGAAAAAGTGCTATAAATCCCAACCATTCAAAGTGAAATGGATGATTGGAATTGGAGGACTTTACTCTCCAATTACTTTGGTAATTGATAGTTGTAGAGGATCTGAATCCATGGTATAATTCCAACCTTGATTTTTAATTTCAGCTGAAATCTTCTTCAGCTGAATTTCATGGTTTATGGTCTGTTCCAACCCATTTTAGGAAACCCTGGCCTTCGGGTGTTAGTGTAACGTTGGTGGGCAAGGGATTGTGCTGGCTTGCATGTGCTTGCCCATGCGGTTTGTTGCAACTCTGTGGGTGCAAGGGCAAGCCTATGGGGACAGAAGTGGGTATGGATTTCATTCACAATATGTTATGTTGTTGGTTGGATTTGCATCAGAAGCCTTGAGGAACTAAGCAAGGTGACTAACTATAACGCCTGTGCATATATAACATATGGTATCACTCTTATAGTATTTTTATATAAAATTGTTTTAATATGTATGTATGTATGTTTGCTTGCCTATATGCATACACATGGTAATTTTGTTGTGTCGTATTAAAATAATAATAATATATTTTTTAATAAGCATAATTGAATTCAAAATCAACAATTATTTGCCATTCTTAATATTTGTAGATGAAATTACAAGAAATTCTTATAAATATTAAAATTCATTGTAGAATAGGATTGAAACATACATAATTATCAAAACTAAAAAATTGATGATGTACATACCCGAGTTTTAAAGCTTGCTTCCAACCAAGTTATCCATGTACTTGCAGATCTCTGGCAATGACATCAGTTGATGAAGCAGACAGCTGGTATGGTGGAAACTTAATTTATGATCAAGACGTGAACAGCAATGCCTACAAACATTATGCTGAACTATGTCAGGTAATTATAGGAAGATTTAATAGATTGACTTTGTTTATATTTTTTATCATTGACTATTAATATGCTCGATTGACTTTTTGATACTACTCAGTGCATAGCACTTGTGTAGAGTTTCAGTTAAACGTCAGTAAAGTAGTTTTTATGAACAATAATGGTTCTGCTAGTCTGTACAATTGGCAAAGAAAATAATGATTTGTTATTTTGTTTAATGCATGAGTTCTAACATGGCGAACCTATTGGTCTTTAACTTATTTTTATTATGCTACGACTAGCTATTCTACTGGTCAAAGATTCTGTATTCTTTGTCTCTGAGATGGGTAATTGACCTATTTGACTAATGGTGTAGATTAACATCTTGGTCATGGGATTCAATATTTAGCTTTACTTTCTTGGTGAATTAGTTGTTGAATCTTCATTATTGATATATTTTTTTCTATATTTCAGTCATGATAATATTATTTACTTTCTTTTTATATTGGTTGTTTTTGTTTCTATTATGTATTGATTACTTTTAATTTTTGGTCTGTGTTTTGGTGAGAAAGGGATTCATGTAGGGATTAGGACTTGTTGTTGTTGTTGTCGCCGTCATGCTTTGGTGAGAAAGGAGAGGATTGAGCCTGAAATGAATAAGATTTTCGGAGGCCTTTAGGCTACATTTGATTTAGTGTAGTAGTTGTTTTACGATTGGTTGGGGATAATTGAAGCTAAGATAGATAAAATAAAAAGAAGGAAAGAAAGCATCATGAAATTGCGCCTATACTTCTATTGACTATCACCATTTGACCATTATTTTGCAGGCTGTATGTCACGACCTGACCTGGGAGTCAAATTAATGAGTCAGGAATAGACGGTCGGACGGTCGACTAAATTTTCAATTAATAACAAACTATTTCTAATAAGCAGAAAGAACCACTAAAACCTCAAATTTGAAACAAATTGAATAAAGTACTCAAATACCTTTTTTCTGGTGCGCGACGTCTAGGGTAAACATTTTCACCTCTTCTATTCATTTTTTATTATAATAAATTATATCTTAAAATATTAGAGAAACTAAAAGTAAGCCACATCTCAATGAGTAACACATGCTTCTATATTACGGTAACTCAAGACAATTAAAACAAGATACATGATCCATTTTTCATTTCATATCATAAAATAATTTCATTTAATCATATCATTTCATCAAGACTTTCAATGTTATGCATAAATCATACATGTTATATATATATATCATATTTGTGTTCATAATTTTCTCATTTCTCATAAATAATATAATCGTCACAGGAGCCACTGTCTAATTTAATACAAATGAATGTACTCCTTTTTCATTTTCCTTTTCCATTAACGTGCACGGGTATATTGCATCCCCAGGCAGCACCATAAGGGAGTGTGCTCTATCAGTCAACATGCACTTGCAAACATTCTACATAAATCATATCATTCATTTACTTTCTATGAAAATGTAAATCATGACATTTATTTTCATTTGATTCAACATGATCAATCATTGGATATGAAAAAAACAGATCATAATCTAATTTTGCAATAAATACTTAGTAAGCAGATATCACTATCTTTCAATACATTTAATTTAAGAAAAAACAAAATCATCACTGTAATCAAAAGGCATAAGTACTCACCTTGAAATTAGGAAATACATTGTTTCACTATTACTCCTTATTTCAATGATGGTAGATTTAAAGCCTATAAAAGATCACTTCACTTCATTAAATTTCTCTAACTTGTTATTTATAATAAATTATTGTAAATATCAATTTTATATTAGCATCTCAAATATTATTAATTAGAACTTCTCTCACCCTCTTAATTAACTATTTATTAAATATATCCATATAGTTCTTGAATTTAAATTTAGCAAAAAAATTTATTCTCTTTCTTTTTATATGCGATAAAATATCTCTGTTTCTATACAATTTATCTCATTCATTATTCTTCTCAATCAAGTTTAAATAAAATTTAATTTATATATTTCCTAACTTAAAAATATCTTATTATCTTATATACATATCATCATTAATTAATTTCTAATATATAAAATTTCTAAAAAATTTCTTATCATCATCTTTTACTAAAAAAAAAAAATCTTCCCTTCTTCCTTTACATGAAACCCTCACATGCCCTACCCATCGAGTTCGCTTCCTTGTCTCTTTCTCTTGATCTCCCTTTAATATAATTTATCTATTCTTAGGATTAACCACATAAGAAGAAAAACATGCCAAAAGAAATGAATTTGAAAAACTTACTTCCTTCTTCTTCTCCTCCGCTCCTCTTCCCACGATTTTCTTCTTTAGCGATAATGACATAAAAGGAACGAGTTAAATGAAGATATAACTCACGAGAAGTTTCTTGATTTCATTTCCGAACTCAAATATTTGCTAAGATTCGAAAAACGGCTTTTCCAACCCCGCCTGCGCTCACATGTGGCCCGCCTGGGTCGCGGCTATGTTCGGTTCCTACTCCTATTTTGTTTGCGATTAATACATATCTGATTCATCTCAATACATATCTGGCTCATCTCAAATGAACCGGATAGGTCCGGTTCTTACACTGTAGGTAGTGGAGGAAAGAAGTTTCATGCAAAAAATCTTATAAGGGTTTTCAAAGAGTAGCTTATAAGCCGAATGTCTCAATCAGAATTTATGACTTTGAGGAGATTGTGAGACCTCACTACTACACTATAAAACAGAGAAGCAATATGAAATGCATTCGATCTTTTGTAGCAGGTGATAAAATGTGTCATTTTTGAAAAGAAAATCCTGCTACAAATATAGAGTTATGCTTATGCATAATACTTTGCTGTCCAATGATAAAGTTCATGTTTAGATTACTACAAATCGTGTGAATAGGATGAGAAGTGTAGAGACATGAATTGTATTTCCTGCCTATGCGAGCTGATGATGTGACATTGGGCGATAAGATGTTCCGTGCCTTTTTTGAGACTCAGCCAAAAGAAAAGGTCTTTGAGTATAACGACGGTCTTATCTTGATCAAAGTATATGGATGCTCCACCTGAACACAATTTCTTAATGAGAAAGTTGCTAAGTATAATGGACGCAAGGATGAGTAGCTTGAAATAGATATCCATCATGTATCTAATCATCTTTTAGAGCCCTTCTAATCTCAATTTGGCCACCACTCAAAGGCTCAACTCTAGGCCACATTAGCATCATAGTTTAGCATTTGTGTAAATGCATTTCTTAAACACACACCCCTCTACTTATTTCAGAGAGTTTCCAACGCCTAGAATTTTCAATTTTTGAACCACAAAACCCTAAATCCTAATTTGGGATTTTTGGCCAAACTCCTCTTTCCACTAATTGGCCAATCCCCATTGCACATCATTCCTCCTAAAACCTTTTAGAACCCTTCCAATCTCATTTTGGTCACCACTCAAAGGCTTAACTCTAGGCCACATTAGCATCATAGTTTAGCATTTGTGTGATGGCTGCAGAAGTACCTCACCATACATGAAATGAGACGAACAAAATGACAGATTCTGTGTATTCTCTTATTCTAGTCTAGCAAAGCCAACCAAAATGGGTATTAGAAGTGCCATTGAAGTGAGAAGTACTTTCTGATTTGCTCGAACTTCTCTGCATTTGTTTAACAGCTCAAAATCTTATTTATGAAAGAAAGCATCCAGGAGCTACAATGTACATCTTTGAGCTGCTAAGAGTAATATTTGTTCCCTTGTCTGAAAGCCATATTAGACAGCTTCATTCTTATGCCGCCTCATGTATTTTCACAGATTGAATCAATATAAGGCCTTACCTGGAAGATTAACAAGTGAGAAGAAATTTTGGATGAGGTTATCCCAACCCAAAAATGGTCATAATGAATTTCAAAACTATTGGATTGCTGCAATATATAGCAAATCAATCAAAATTTATATTACACTCATTTTAAAGTAAATCTAACAACTTTAAGACCCATCCAAACTAAATTTGATGAGGCTATTCCAATGTTTAAAATTGCGTATTCGGGTATTGAGGCGTTGTTCATTCGTGAGGCGAGGCGTAAGCCTCAAAATCAAAAGATTGCGTAAATATAAAATGATAAAAATTTTATATACTAATGAGTGAATAATATAAAACATAAAAAAACATAAGATATGAAGTGAAATCAAAATATCTCAATAATAAGACAACATGAAATATAGTTCAACTCAAAATTCTATCTTTCCCAAATCCCAGTATTCTATTCATTAACATATAATTCAAATTTTCAAAAATAAATAGCAATGACATATCACATAAGAACTCAAAAGTCATCAGCACTGTCATCACTAAGGGGTTCTTCATTTGAATCATCATTATGATGAACTGCTCTCTCCCCTTCCTCCTCTCATATAGAGTCCAATGCGGGCATTTACTTCAAGTTTTATGTAAGTTTTAATATATATAGCGTGAGGCGAGGCGGGCCTCAAACAAGTTGAGGCGTAAGCCTCATAAAAAAAAACGAGGCGTAAGCATTGAGGCGTTTTTTACTGGAATTGTGCAAAGGCGGGCCTCAAGGCGTGCCTCATATTGCGCAATTTTAAACCATGAGTTATTCTGAGCTAACCTTTTCCAGCAAGTTTGACTGCTGGCATTCTTGGTGAGAAAAATGATAGGATCTGCTTGCTTGTGCTGCTATCTCTTTCTTTTTTGCTGACCTTTTTGTGCACAAAGCTTGAAATTAGCCTATGACCTGCAGTCAATATTGAGCATATTTAGTCAATTTAGGCTTCGTTTGGGACGGTTTTCTTACTGCTTCTTAAAGCAGTTGTTTAGTACAAAAAAATTACTAAAAAATTGTTTTAAGAAGCAGCAAGAAAGCTATTCAAAACGAAGCCTTAGTAATGTTTATTCATGGAATCCTTGAATAACTCTTTTGCAGGGCACCGTCATGGATCCTTTCGAACATGACCCGGAGAAGGAGAATCAGTATGCGGAGGCTCTGCGCATGGGACTGGACAAAGACGATGCTCTGGTCGAAGCAGAAATGGCTGCTGCTCTCAGGGAGTATGACCGGATTGGTGACGAGCTCGGTATTCTCCTCTCTTGCAAAGCGCTTGCCGAAGATCCTAGCTGGTTAACAAGGTTGATCATGGGGGAGGAGTGTTGAAGCATGGAAGCTTACTAGTCTTTCTTGGGAACAAGCTTGCGAAGAAGCATAGCTGTGGCATAAAAGACATAATAAAGGTTATTTGAAACGTTTTATTGTTGTTAGTTTGCTCATTTCTTATTCAGATATTTAGACTGACTGTACATAATTGAAGGAGGTTTGGGCTCAACTCTCAGGGCCTTCTTTTTAGTTTTTATACAGAATAAGAATTAGTTTGCTTTCGAACATTTATTTCCCTTTTATTTATTTATTTTTCCTTTTGTGTGTGTTTATATATATTATTTGAAGACTTAGGCTTCGTTTGGGACGGCTTCTTTATTGCTTTCTAAAACGGTGTTTTAGTACAAAATTAAAAAATTTTGTACTAAAACTCCGTTTTAGAAAGCAATAAAGAAGCCGTCCCAAATGAAGCCTTAGTTCTCCTTGGCATATGGCTATACTCTCCAAACTAATTTTTTTGTTAAATAGATTTTTTTGATCAGATTATCAAGCTTTTTATAAAGGTGATTATAAAGTTGTCATAGAGAAAATAGCTTTTTTAAAAGTTACTGTAGAAACTATAAAGTAATTTTCTAGCATAAAAATATTATAATTATAAGTAATGAAAAAGCAGTAGCCAAATAAAAATTATAATTACCATCTAAACATCAAAGTAGAAAGAAATACAAGTGAAATTTTTTTTTTGCATTCTTTTGTGGTTTCCTCTGAGTTGCTCATGCTTGTAAATGGGACAAAATTTAAATAATAAATATTAGTGAAAATTAATCAAAAGAGAGGTGTTGGTCATTTTAGTGTTGAAAAACTAAAAATTATTATGTCCATTTTTATTTATTTTGTTTTATATTAAATTATTTTTAACTAATTAATTTCATTGTTGAAATGTTATTGCGTCATATATTATGTAATTGAGCTCAAATTTGACACACACACTCTCTAACTTTATCATTATAACATCACAATCACATTTGTGCATATTTGTGTGGTTGTATATATATTTATACACACCTTAGATCTCCTACTTTGCATTCAATCTTCTTGAATTTGACATCTTAAATTTTCGGTAAAGTAGCAAATACTTCAATCAAGCCTAACACACATGATCATCTTCTCTATGGTAGCACTTTAATTAATTAATCTGTCAAAAATATTTTTTAAATCTTCCTATAATACTATTTATTGTCATCAAATCACTAATAAGCTATAAATAAGGCTCATGGTATTACAAGTAAATCTTTTTTTTTTTTTTAGAATTAGTTTTCCATTAAATTCTATTTCACAATAAAAAAAAATTCCTATAAGATCTTAAAATATTTAATATATTCTTTTTAATAATTATAACTAATAATTTTCCTGATGTTAACTTAATGTCTATTAATTATAATATTTTGTGATAACATAATCTATAAATCATGTTAACTAATCAAACATCGTCAAATTATGTAGAGACTGAGATTATGAATTCTAAATGTATTCCGGAAAAAAAACAAAAAAAAAATTGGAAATTATATAGTTTATATCGAATAAAATATAATCTGGATATTAAAAAATAGTATTATAACACAATTAATATTTTAAATTAGTGTTTTACACAAATTTTCTTAATTTGGTTATGTTTTAAAACTATAAAATTTTACTCAATAGAAATTTATGTTGTCTATTTTTATAGAAAACTATGCAATTCTAACACATTCTCAATTATACTTCAATTGCTATAATATGATGAAATATATGCATATGCGATTGAATTATGACTGCTAAGAGATATAAGGGGTCAAAATCTTTTGAGATTATATTTATGTCAAGGAATATTCTAATGCTTACAAGGCATATTCTGGTGGCTATAAAGTTATATTCTAATATCCATAAGCTATATTTTGGTGCCTATGAACTTGTCCTGACGCTATAAGTATAAAAGGGAATCATAAGAAGCCATAATTCTTTGAGATTGTATCTGGAACTTGGATATATGATATGAATTGCTTTTTGTTATGAAAAACTTTGTGATATGAAATGCTCTATGATGTAAATTTTAGTTTATTCATCTGCTTGTACTATTATTTAAATATTTGGATAGTTGTTATGCTCTTATTATCTTTCTCAATATAGTGATTTATTAGACTCTTTTAATTATTTTTAGATATTATGAAAAATATTTATTAAAAAAATTCATAAATTTAAATCAATTTGTATGACATGTTGAACTGTTATAGCTCACGAGGGTTTTACTTCTAATTTTTAGGATCTAAGAAAGTGAAGAAGCTTGTTGATTAAGAATTCAGCATCACATCTAAATTTATAGGTATTTCCCTATTTTGATTTTTATACAATTATAGCTAGTTTATTATTTAATTCTGTAGCTTCAAATTATAGTCTTGTGCTATAGTTTATGTATTTTGATGAAATGAAAGAAATCTTATGGATGAGCTTCTTTTTAGCACTTAAATATTTTAGTAACTCTATAGTATGTTATGTATTTAGAATGAATATTGAAAGAGAATTTGAAATATTTCAAAACTAGATTTTAGGATTTGCATGTCATAGCTCAATACGACAGAACTTATCCCGATCGGGTTGGTTTATGACATTTAGAGCCAGCACAAATTAACAACCATGAGTTATAGATATTTAACATGTGTTGTAGAGCTTACCACATCATCATTACATCCCCCCAAATGAAGGATGCCTTACATATGTGGTCATTCAATCTATTACATCCCTTATATGCATGATATCATTATTGTGGGTGATAAGCATTGGGATCCTAGCTCATTTGTTTCCCCATACTACACCTTAGAGTATTACAAAGTAAGTGTTCATAGGCCTAGGACGACACGATACCATAACACGACGGATGAAACACGTGGTTCATCTTCTAAGAGTTATGACATTTGCCACATTAGAGGTCATAATAGTGCAACATGTCTTAATAATCCAAGTAGCAGCAGTAACATTAATAAGTTACTACAATATTTTATCAAATTTATTTTATAATGTACTTCATTGTTATAACTTGATCCTTTATTGTAACGTATGCAAGGCTATAAAAACTATCTCAGATATTATTTTAAACCTTTCTTTACAGATGTATCAGAGGCCATAGATAGAGGGAGGTAGCCTCATCATTAGAGGAGAAGTGTACGTCATAGCCAGATACTCCTACTTCTGATACTCCACTGAGCATTTCTTCTTTGGGCTCGACACACAGGACTTCAGCCCTTGATCATGTTAGGTCTTTTTTAAATGTCTAAATACAATGGTTAGTTCTTTAAGAAGTACTAAGTAATAATAATGTCCTACAAATTATTGCAATGGACTCAATATGACACTTACATTTATTTGGTCAGATCATTAACTAATTGCCTCCTTTGTTGAGATGTGAAATTAATAAAAAAACACATTTCACTTGTCCATCAATGAAATGGTGGTGAAGCTACGTGACATGCAAATGATTTTGGATATCTAGATTGATGGTGGAGCTCTTGTTGTGTCTTTAATTGTTGGATCCAGCCTACACTGGAATACATGGCCAGATTGTTGCGATGAGCTACTAGATAGCCACCCCAACCATGATTTCACATACCACTAGCAAGAGGAGCGGGGGATATATGTAAGTTTCAAAATAGGTTCCTCTGAGGCTCAGTCGGTGCTACCATTTGGACTACTCATGTCCTACTAATCAATTGGAAATGTGTGGAGTAGCATCTTCTAGACTAGTTTATAAACCCAAAAAAATTTGATATGTAAGTATAATTTTGGTTCAAAAAAATTACCCATTTATCATTCCGCCATAACACATCAAACTTATTTTCATTAAATCCTACTTTTAATTTCAAATATTTTGATATATGAACGTGAACCTAAATTATAAGCTTTATATATATATATATATATATATATATATATGCTGGTATTGTGTATATTAATATTTAATATGAAATTAATTAATTAACTATTAATTAATAGTTAATTAAAAAGTTCATTAATTTAACTTCCTAAGCTAAAGCCACTTACCCAAATGGGATCTCATGGCTGCTGCTTGCTAGGGAGAAAATTCTGAAATCAATAAGGTAAAATTAAGGGGTAGGAAAAGAAGGGAAAAGAGAGGAAGAAAGGAATAGGAAGTGAGGAAGTTTGGGGTTGAATAAGGAGAAGAAGTACGATTGAGGTAAAATTTTTAGGATTTTTTCTTAGAGCTGAACCGGTACAATTCAGTACGAATCAATTTTGTAATCAGAGAGAGAGATTTTTAAAGATGGAGTTGTGAGGGGATTCACAAGGTTGCTTAATAGTGAGTATCTCTTGCTTGTTCTTCAAAGGTCTTCCATTCTCTCTTGAAGTTTCTTGGAAGAAGATTTTCAAAGGAGCAACGGTGCTCTGTCGACACCAGGTGGGTGTGAAAGGGCGACGGTGCTCTGCCAACACCAGGTGGGTGTGAAAGTACGATGGTACTCTGCCGACATCAGGAGGGTGTGAAAGGACGACTTTACTCTGCCAACACTAGGTGGGTGTGAAAGGACGACACGGTACTCTGACGACACTAGAAAGGTGTGAAAGGACGACGGTACTCTGCCGACACTAGGAGGGTGTGAAAAGATGACGGTTCTCTGTCATCACCAGGAGGGCCTGAAAGGACGTCGGTTCTCTACCTTCACCATGAGGGTGAAAAAGGACGACGGTACTCTGTCGCAACGGGTATTGGTGGAAGAGAGGTTAAGTGTAAGGGTTTCTCCGCCTTACTATGAGAGCAAAAGGAGAATAACTTTGGTATAGTACAATACCTGAAGATGAAGTCTTCAGGAAGTGGACTTAGGTCTTGTTGGACCGAACCACTATAAATTTTTGTGTTCTTCTGTTTTTATTTTTACTGCATTTTTTATTTTTCTGCACTATTAACTTTGTGGTTAAAATTTTTATTTTGCTTAAAATGATAAAAAATGATTTTCTAAAATTTTCAAGAGATTTTTAAATAAGCAATACACTACCCCACCCCCGGTTAACCTTGGGATGATAACTTTAGGTCTAAGTACCTATTCAGACTTACACAAGAAAAATACTTCTTACACAATCGAAATATCACAAAGGCATTTACTTAGGGCCATGATGAGAATGCAAGTTCAATACAATTAGGCTACAATGGATTGTAAAATTATCTAAATAGGTGGAGCAGCCAGTATTTATTTATTGTATTGTATTTGATAACCCTACAGAGATTGAGTTGCATTAACAACAACATTGTGCAACTACAT